CCAGTATATGCCGAGCAGCGGTCCACGCTGGAGTAATCAAGAATGATGTGGGTGGTTACATTGATGTGATGCCGGTGGACAAGCGGAAACACTACATTGCTTCATACCAAAATGGCATTTTCTCAGAGAGGTATGGCGTGCCCTAATCTTCAAATAACCAGGCTGACCTAAGTGGCTAGTATGTGTGTGCAAATTACTAAATGTGATTTTCATGGATAATTGTACATTTACAGTAAAACCAATCACCCCTATTGCAGCACTGAAGATAGTGGACCCTTATATTGGTTGAAACAACAGTTATTATACCAACAAAATTGCAATAAAATAGAACAAAAAGGTTAAGGTGTCTAGTGTACTGTTATGGAATAAATTGCTTAGGTAGATTACTGGTCCTAGTCAGGATCCTGTCTGACAATTTAGTTGGAAAGTGAAGGGGTAAATTTGTTGTGGCTCAGAGAGGAGGAACGAGAAATCAATGACTGCTCTCCCATGTGGTGGAGCTAATCTTTTCAAGATTCAGGAAGTTTGTTACATCTCTCATGCAGTGCACATGGGAGGGTGATTAGTATGTGTCTAATTTAAAATAATGAATTGCTTGGCAATTAGTGTGGAGAAGATGAGCGCATCTTAATGTAGTTCTGGGAGGAGTTTGTTTTTTGGTTGTAAGTCAAAAAGGGCAATCAGTGGACAACGGCCTAAAGTTTAATGTAGTGGCTCAGGTAAAGGAAATAACAAACAAGAACTTAGAGCAGAGAAAAGCCGAAGCATATGCGTCGAGGAAGAGGGATCCTGCTGGAACCTGACAAATAGGGATCAATATAAGGTTAGATTTTAGACAGTTTTAGCTTAGTCCAACCAATATGGTGTCTAACCTTAAGCTGGATAAGTTCTTTTTGTGTAAACATGCATTTAAATTACTCTCCTTTACTACTGTCTCACCAAACTGGAGAATGCATAGAAGTGATACTCAGGTGATGCAGAATAGAGGCACCCTTTTTGCATGGGAAGTCTGAACATTGTCTAATTAGGTTTAGGTGGAAGATTAGTAAATTGTAATAAAAGTTATTCTCTCACTCAAAAGGTATTCTGTCACTATCATTCTACATCTCACAAGCTCTGTTCAGGTTTATATTATTCAAAAAGATTGTTACCTTAAACTTGTTAAGAACAAATGATTAGGTTACGCTTTAACAGAAGGCATTGCTTATAACATAAAAAGACCTCTAAATTGTCAGGTACAGAGTGTTTAATTGTAGAGTGAGACTTAGTCAACCATAGTGGAAAACAGGCATCTTCTGCATCTGACCACGATAAAAAATATAAAATATGTAACCAACTTCACATAATAGGAAAAAATAGAGCACTGTATTATTGGCATAGAGATATGTTTCTGCTTACGTCATCCTGCCTTCTTTCCATTTCTACTTCGAAGAGGAGGGGTGAAGGTAGACAACCCTGTTCGGTGCCACCCACTAACGCGGTGTAGGAAATGAGAGACATCATTGGTTTGTACGGTGGCTATTGGAATGTTAAGAAGCTTAAGCCAGGCAATTAAATACCCAATTCAAATTTATACAGCGTAAAAGCTACCTCTCTAGGAGGTCATATAGCCCCTCTGCATCAAGAAGACTGAGAAGGTATGACTTTTTGAATTAGGAGACGTAATAATAATGTTTAATGCCTCTTTCTGATGATAATAATATAATAACCCTTCGTTCTGCGTGAATTGTTTCTGGCAGGATGGTATTAAACTTATGAGTCAAGATTTTAGTGACGACTCTGACATTATTGGGGCAAAGACTAGAGGGCCTATTTTTCTCACTGTCAGGATGATGTTTGCCAGCATCTTCCTACATAATGAGTCCTCTGTGACTGAAAGAGAACATTTAACTGTTGATAAAGAAAGGGGCTTGTCATCGCTTAGGTAAGACTCTGTTTATTCTAATAAAGTGAGAGTGTGTGTTGAATCCATGTTGCACTGCTTTACAACAGCATTAAGGTTACAGGTCCAAGCCAGCCTCTGCGTAAAGCTGAAGTGACCCACATACTGTATAGCCTGTTCTAGTTTTTTAGAAATATTAAACTGCACCAACATTGGATTGTTCTGTTGTTTGTAACATGACCGGGGAAGAGGACAAACACACACACACACACACACACACACACACACACACACACACACACACAGTCTTATTTATTCTATGCCTTTCCCTCTCTCGTTCTGTCCTCTCCCTCTCTTGCCTTGTCTCTCTTCACCACATTTATCTTTGTCACAATGTTGAGATGCTTGACGTCTGTTAGTATCTGCCCATCATTTATCTGTCTCCTTTAACTTCACAACATGTCTGTCTTTGTTGGATTAACACATGAAGTCCCATGTGTTTGTGTAAAAATGGGTGGTTTATCTGTTTTCTCAGGGAGCTTTAAGCTCTATCTGTTTGTGTCCTATCTGTCATCAGAGTGTCAGACAACACACTGACGTGGACATTTCTCCGTAAGACCTGAAGTCTATCTGTTTGTGTTTGTATGTCATCCATGTCTCTCTGCAAAAGGCTGGGACAAGTTCTATCTGACTCATGCCGCACATAGACTGACTCTCCCTCTTGTTTCTTTCTCCCCTGCAGCCTTCAAAACCCTCCTGGAGGGAAGGCGTTCCGGGTGTTCGCTGTGATTTGAGTGACCCATAGGGGCGGCTTCACCAAACAGAAAGCGCACTTGGGCTGTTGAATAGGCGGTAATCAAGCCCTGTTGTCAAATTCAATGACTGAAATGTTTCTGGCTTTGCTACACTTCAGGGGTTAGAGGTCATCTCCATGACAGCGTAAAACCCAGCAACAAAAACGTAACACATACACAATGAGCAACTGTCTGTCTCACTCGCATGGAGGTTTCATTTTGTCATCTTTAGCGGGACATTTTCTGTACTGTAAATATCTCTGAATATTTTGTTGTACATATTTGTTAATAGTATTACACTTGTTTTGTCTTCGTGCCATTGCCTTGCCTTTCTAACAAATAGCTGTGTATGAATACTGATAATAGAAATTCCATGATATAACATTATAATGGCACTTAAGGATGAATATCATTTTTATTGTATTATGTCTGGCACATTTTAGTGGTGCTCTGGAGAGGTTTCTTTTCATATTTTGTACTTTTGTAATGAGTGGGGAACAAATTGTTAAGCATTTATTTTTATATGATTATGCTTTATATCAATATGATTTATAAAGGATGCTGCTATATATTTTTTGTATTGTTATTGTAATTGCCAGTGTGATGGGTTTTGTTTGTTTGGTTATTTTTCCAGATAATATGGTTTAGTTAAAACTCCCTGCAGGTCGGGAAGTACACTCATTCTTTCAACAAAACCTATGTTCCCGACTTTATCATGCATCACATTTTACTGGATGTCGCGACCCCAAAGATGTTTTCAGGTCATATTAATTTCCCTTTATGGACATTGATAAACAATACTATACAACAGTTTTATTTCATACAGTGATTTTAAATCAACAGATATAATTGTTCATATTTTTTCCAGCTCTCAGCTTTCTTTCAAGCTGCAATCAGTATAATGAGCAATTCATTTTATTTTTTTCATTGTTTCTCTATGCGTTATATGTATTTTCCTACCTCAAGTTGTTAGGAAAAGTCCCTTTTGCAATAAAATATTACAAACACCACAGCTGTCTCTCGCTCAAAGTCAATGTGATATTTCTCAGATGCTTTTGCAAAGGCATTTTTACATGTCATCTGTATACACTACTATATGCTACTAATTTGACTACTATACACTGTAACTGCGTATAACTGAATATATTATTATTGTGTTTTATTATCATATTCAATATCTAATTCTTCAGAATTCAAAATGCTTTTAAAATTAAAACATTAATAGTGCTACAGTACAGTAAATGCACTGTGAACACACTTGGAGCCATTGCTCCAAATTTGCTTAGAAATTGACAAGTCTCCTGATGTTAGTATTGGATTTCCTGCTGTAAATCTGTGGTGGCTGTGGTGATAGGGTGGTGCTGTATTCCTATTCTTGAAGATTTCTGTAAGTAGCTCAGACCCATGTTGGCTTGTGCTGATTTATCCCAGCTCCCAACACCACGCTGCCTCAGATTCATTTCACCTCAAGCATAGTCAGAGATAAATCTGGGATGAGTATATTGAAGTTGCAGACTTTGACAGGAAATGTTCCCTGAATAGTCTACAAATGAAAAAGCTGTACATAACATATCCTAAAATGATCAAATATTATCTCTCTCAAACTGGGAAACCATGTTCACAGATGGCTGTCAGTGGTCCTTGAACAGTTCATCTGATATGGGTCATAATACCCGCATATTAAAGCTGACAATTTGCTGTAAAACCTCATTGGCAATGAGTCATTTCACATTTGCTCTAACCCAGTGGATAAGCATGCAGAGCCAAAACAGCAAAGATCAAAGTACCTCAGGGAGTCACTGAAGTGGTAGGTTTTGTGGGTTGGATGAAGACTGAACCCAATCCCCCAGACTTCCAGATCCATTGCTCTACTTGAGGAAGAAGCCTACACTATTGATTTGAAAGTCTCTCAGGATGTGGTGCCCCCCTCCCAAATAAGCATACCGGTTATTCATTCAAACCTTGGAGAGCGGAAGCATTTGATTTTAACTGTCCCAGCTTTCCTCCTAGAGTTCGTCACCAGGGAGCAGAGTCGTCACTCCTCATTTGCTTCTGAGCAGCAATGGGGCGAAATGACCAATCCGTAATGGGTTCCAGCGTATCTATGTCCGACAGTGTTATGATGTCTGGAGGGCTGCAATAGGTTGTGACTTCAGCTGCCAGTCTTTGTTATTCCCCAGACAAGCGCTACTAAATCTTACATGATGGGTTGAATATACAACTACTGGTCCGGCGACACCAATGTGACACATTATGCTATGTTGTCAAATGAATTTTCAATGGGTTTTACAGGTGTACGTGTGTGGGAAAAGAAAACACATATCTATCCGCAATAGAAGATTTAATTGCACGTGTGGGAGACTACATGCTACATGCACACTGACCCTCACAACATGTGGAAAACAACTTATTGGTCATAAACCGTAAAGAAAAGGTAGATAACTGTGTGTGTGTGTGTGTGTGTGTCTGTGTCTGCAGGAGGCCGACAACATCTATTACCTCATTCAGACCAAACAGCTCCCCGAAAACACACACAAATGCGTACATGTGCATATGCATGCTAACACATTAATGCACACACTCATTCGTGCTCTGACACATCATGTTAGATTAAACCCAATCACTTGTGATTGGCTGAGCTCTGCCGGAGAAGGAGCCGCAGAGTGATTGATAGGCCGTCCATGTGCAACCAGGTCCTGTGAGAGAAAAGAAAGGCATACATCAGACAGGTGTCAAAATTCACAGCGGGGTGTGGTGATGGGTGGCGTTCAGGGGCTCTGAAGAATGAAAGGAAAGAGGACGAGGAGGATAGTGAAAGGGAGAAAGTGGGGGACAGAGGAAAAAGGCAGAGAGATAACCTGAAGGCGAGAAAAAAAACAGCATGAAGTTTTGATTCTCTGACAACTTCAAGTATATGACATTGGGATACCATCTGCAGAATTTCTCATCTTTTCCTAACTTTTAGTCTATAAACACAAGTTTTCCAAGAGCACTTTTATAACATAGTTGGACGACTTCAAATAATTAAGGAAGAGGTGCACACATCAGTTGATGGTGATAGATTGTTGTGTGCCTTCATATGCGACCCACCAGACAGACAAGGGTGCATTAGGAGCAAACTGACAGAGCGGCAGCCATAGGCCCATTAGGACCAAGGAGACTGAGGGCCGTGAAGACAGATGGGATGAAAGACAAGCTTGCAGCTAGCAGGGTCTGCATGGTGCCACCAGTGTTTTCAGACTGTCGTTTAAAATAAGGAAGGCCATTAATAACCTCCTCACTGTGCTCTGCTCAGCTGCAGTCTGGCGCTTCTTGCAGAGCTAAATGTGGCGCTGCATGGCAGCAGACTGGCAGACTGTGTCAAAGAGACTATATACACCTGAGGAGAGGGAAAGAGAGAGAAGCAGACAGTTTGTATGTGCTTCTGCATTTTTTTGTGCTGTGTGTGTGTGTGTGTGTGTGTGTGTGTGTGTGTGTGTGCATGCACTGTATATATGGGTTTAATTGTATTTTTTCACTTGCTCACCTGTTTGTTTATGTGCTATGTCTGTGCCGCCTATCCTACTATGGTTGGATGGGAATCAGATAACAGTGATGCAGTCAGGGGAGCCGTCAGCACCGAGGTGAAAAGTTATGGTTGCCAGTGGTAATGACTGTGTTCCTTCTTGTCAAACCTTTACTTTGGCAGATGAACAAAACATAAAATTTGACAGGGAGTGGGTTTTTTTCCCCTCATGATCCAAAAATATTACATGTACACTGTGAATGTGTTTTTGCAAAGATGGAGTGGGTACTTTGGTGGAGAAAAAATAAGCTTTTCCTGAGTGGCAAGGTGACTCATATAATTATTGAGTTATTTTAGGCCTCTGTGCTTTTAAAACAACCCTCTGACAAATCTTGGACATTTGATTTATAATAACCATTCATTACTAACTGGCTCTCCTGTGACCAACCCACTCAACTACTTGACTGAAATTGAAAATCTTATAGCATGCAAAGCAAATTAATGCTCAAGTCCACTCAGTTGGTGAATTCTAGTGGAATTCAAGATATTTAAATTGACGCTTAACGTATACCAATCGGGGGCCAAGAATAGATGCCTGTATAGTTCTTCCTCAAAAGGCGAATCATCCCACCATGAAACAATTAAACCTCAGTGAAAAGGATTGCCTTCAAAGGGTGGTCCAGTATTTGTATCCAGACCTCTCAAAATACAAAGAAATATGGTAAAAAGGTTCCCTTATTGGACTGTTCTATTGAGGTGTGAGGAGTGTGACCTAATACTGTCAAAGAAATGGTTACCTTCACGTGAATGCTTATGGTATGCTGGCATAATCTGTAATGTGAACCTTAGTGGTGCACATTGGAGAGTGCTGAAGTTAAAGCAGCTACACAACGTCAACAACTCAGACTCGGCCAATGTGTTGTACCAGGTTGACTGTAGAAGGCTTTAACAGATCAAATACTCTCTCTTTTTCCTGTCCAACACAAATAAATGAGGCTTTCCAAGAGAAAAGGTTCCTTTGTTTGAGAGAAAATTAAGAAACTTGAGTTTTTGGTCTTGTGAGATTTCTACTCAGATGAGTACAAAACCCAATTAAGAACATCTGGCAAAGCTACTCCTTACACGTTATGCCGAACACAATAATGTGCATAATCTATATATTTACATCGTAACTGTTGAGCGGTCTCTCGCTGTCTCCCTTCCTCTTGTGCACAGACATCTCTGTATGCACAAAATGATGAAAGCACATTCATCTTCCTTCTGTCATGACAGACAGGACTATAGCCTTATTTTAAAATGCTTTTATTACCAAGGAAAATAACTGCACATCAGATGATTTATCGTCAACAATTTGCACACATAAAACACTGACACTGACGTTTGTTCTTGTGTACATGGGTGTCAGAGAGGCAGTTTCATGCTCTGCATGCAGATGTGGGCCACATGTAAAACGCCTTTCCTAAAACAAGCACTGGAATAGGGGAGGTTGTGCTTATGGTACCTCTCCAGGAGGGTGCTGGCTGCCTCCCAGACTGCCCTTCTCTTAGAGCTACCCCTTCAGAATAAATAATGACAAGTCCACATCATCTGGACACTTACAGAAACCAATTCAAATCTGTAAGTCTTATTGCCTGGACCAAATTTTAAGCCCACCGGCTATCTCTGGGCACCCGATCAATGTTTCATAGCAGGCTTACTTACTTACTGTGCTGTCTAAATGGGCAGAGGTTGCCTGTTTATCCTCCAGATGTTGGTCAGTTGATATTGCATTAATGATAACAATAATAACAAAACTATAGCTAAGGAATATGGCATCAATCTTTATACACAAAGCCAGGGATAACAGAGGAAATGGATTGAGTTTCAAAGAACCCTGCCTATCCAAGGCGCAATCAGACAACCTGCATGTAAAGCAAACACTTGTTTGCAAAGGAAAGGAAAATAAATGTCGAGAAAGAGCTGGAACAGAGTATAAGATGGCTGGCAAGACAACAAGGAACAGGCTGAAAAGCTACATACAGCACAGTCGAGTGTCGGGGCCAAACAATAAGGCCATGCATGGCAGATGGGCGCACACACTCCTTTGCAGTCAGTCATAATACAAGAAAAAGGAAGTAGAGTCTTGGGCCAAGGCCTAGAGGGCCCAGGGGTAATGGAAGAAGAGCACAGCATGAAAAATGAAAAATGAAAAAAAAAAAAAAAAAACTCATGAAAAACTACAGTTCATAGTAAACTACATCAAAAGGAATCCCAGAATAAGTTTGTTTTCAAGTTTTTGTACGAGTCAGCAAAAATTATTCCTTTTGTAGCAGCCTGCAGCACATGGTACAGTAGACAGACTTATGAGCAGTGGGCGATATACCAAACACAATTTTATGACAGAAGTGTACTAGTGTATTTATATTGGGATTATGGTCAGGGAGCACAGAGTGCAAAATATAAAGAGCTGCAACGAATCAGGCGCCGGCGATGGGCCGCAAAATCATGGAGAAGGCCGTCCCTGGACTCTGACGTCATCACTGACCTTTCGTGTATTTACAGAGAGGTTTGATTTCCACTCTTTTTCCATGCTCACACATAAGCCGTTGTGAAGCGGGCCCTGGAAGTAAAAGAGTAGCTTTGTCCAGACCTGGACGACTAGCACTGGAGTCATGTGCTTCTGCCAATCCCGAAGAAGGGCCCACAAGCCACAGCCATTGAGAAAAGCACAAGCATCACCTGTTTTATATTAAATCTGTCAGATTAAATAAGGAAAGCCAATAAGCTGCAGCTTTCGAGGTGCAGTTTTAGCCAGATTTGACCCTTTGCTATTCTGATCATACTTGTTAAAACTGTTTTCAAACTGAGTTGAGGGACAAGACAGAGACCCTTTGCAAATAAATCCATGCATCTGCACCTGCCCATTTGTCGTATTAACTGGTATGCACAGTGATAAAGATGTCTTTTCCTGTATTTCAAGGAACAAACCAAAAAGCATATTGGTTTCTAGTTCATTTTAAGTCCACACAAGTTGCATTAACCCAACTTGTGTAGACTTAAAATGAACATGACAAATCACACACGACTGTCTGATCTTTGTTTTTGTGCAGCAAGGATGAAGCTCCTGTTACACAACCTATATGTTGCTCATTCACCACCTTGAACAAGTATAGAGATCTAATTACCATAGACTAGAAACATGAAGACATTTAAACATCCCTTTCAAAGTACTCCTCCTATCGCTGCAGACAATATTGCCCTCTACAGGGCATACACATTAGTCACGCTTGTCTGTCTCCACTCTTTTTTTTCTGTGGCTGGGATGAGTTAAAGAGACACAGCGCCACATGTGTTGATGAATGTATAATTACACAGTATTCAGAGCCCCTACCAGCTTCATGTCTCTGCAGTCGACCCTGACTTTTGACCTCATTGTGGAGGGTGCAAGAGAAAGAGAAATAAATCCAAAATAGTATTTAAAAGAGGTGACAAAGACTAAGGACATCTACGACAAACATGGTGCCAGTCTTATAACTTCAAATTAATGTGTTGATGAAAAAAATAATGTTTTAATAATGTGAAATTGAATGAATTAAGGGATGAATTAATCCCAGGAGCATGGGATCTAATTTATCAAATGCCTCTGAGTATTAAAGAGAATTAAAATGAATGAGATGGTCACATGAAGGACCTGGTCAGTGATCCAAGACCAGCCACTCCTTCACTTAGAAAGCTGACGAATTTAGCCTCTGCTCTCCAAATTAGCTGCGTGGCATGAAAAAGAAATGAAGACAAAAAAACAGGCGTCTCATCACTCTTGTGGGAGTGGAGGGAGACACCTATTTTATTCCTCTATCTTCCACGAGGAGATGAATGTGATGAACTGTGGATTCAGCCTCCCCCAGTCGTGTTCTATGAGAAATGCCAGCAGCAGCAGAAAGCTTCGTCTCCAGAGATCCAGCTCAGGGTTCAGCCTCACTGTGACACAAGATGGACCCCAATTTTGGACACAAAGACTGGGTCAGACCAGCAGGAGGTATAGCCTTTCCTTGAGCATGATCCATTCCTTTTCTGTTCATTGTGACCAAAATCTTGCTTGTCTTCTTCCTATTTTTTGTATTTTCCCCTCTGCTTCACCCTCATCTGTGTGCAATGTCTTTCCTCCAACCGCCCCCACTCACTCACTTTCCTCACTGTTCATCCTCCCCCATTAGCATAATGATCATTAGTGTACCTACATAGTTAACTTCTAAAGTTCTCTTTCTGACTCATGCGCCCATTTACAATTGTAAATCTTCTCCGAATGCAAATACACACATTATCTCACTTTAGATGGCCAGAATTTAAAGCGGACCATCATGAAAGGTGTATCTGCTGGATTGCCTGAAAAATGAATTTGCACGAGCAGACACACTGCAGCAAATTAAATCTTATCCTCAGCTCTTCTGATAACATTTTTTGGTTAATTCAGTTATGCGAGTAGCCCTTGTAATAGGCTTATACACTCTTCTCATACACTCATCTGTGATTGAAGTAAAGGACCCTCTCGAATCTCACGACTCACCTTCTAGAGAAGGACAGAGAGGCCCTCCAACCACTTCTACTTCTAACTGTTATGGAGTAAATCACAAACATGTCAAGGCCTGATCCTCTGGGACTGCACATAACCTTAGCTGTCCTATATTGTGTGACTAACCAATGTCCTCCTTGGACCCACTGAGCTCAGAACAGCCCACATCTCTTATTCTGAGAAATGGGCTTTTTTTCTCTCTCTCTCTTTCCACACTAGCCTTTTTTTCCTCCAGGCATTGACATTTAATCAAACCCAAATCCCATTGTGCCTATTAACATATCAGGCTGATACGGGTTGCTGTAAAAAGCTTGAGTACAGGAACCCAGAGCAGAACATTACCATAACTCTGCCTGTGTGATCTCTTATTTTCTCTCCTCCGCCCCCACATGTAAAAATGCTTACCTGGCAAACAACTAAGCATGGAGAGGCATTTCTGTCTCTCGCTCAAACCCCCTACCCCCCTTCCACTCATTCACCCCTGCTTATCTTTTAAGAAGGTGTTAATTATTTAGCCGTTTGTGCTTGTAAATGTTTGGCAAATAGCACCGAGACAAACTAAGCACCTAATGCAAAGGCAGTTTTAATATTTCACCCGACCGTCAAAACCACCTAAAGTTTGCTTTCCGCCTTGTCTATGGCTAAATAAACAATTCAGAGGCACTTAAAAAAAAAAAAAGCGCCTTAATGGATGGCATGGTTTCCCTGTGAGCGGCTCAGTCTTCCCAGTATTAATCATCATAGACGTGATGGGACTTGAATAAGTGATGCGGTGATGATTATGAGGTCAATACTTGATAAATTGCCATTTTGGACATTGTTGTTTTCTACAGCTCAGCCGATATTGGCTGTTTTGCTTGTGACCTTGATGAAGGTCTCTCTGCTCTTGAGTGACTCTCAACATGTCTGACCCTGTTGGCAGCCATTCATGTATGTCAGGGCCATATGCTGGATTGTGTGGCGGGCCTGCACGCTGCACAGGCTGAGCCTCTCTACCTGCGAACAACTGAGGCCAAACTGGTTGTCGGTCTTGTATCACGGCAGGCAATTACTTCCCCAAAACTAGGACAGTTCTCGGTAATAACAGACACCAGAGCACAATATTTAGTGCAATGAAAAGACATTGTTGCTGTCAGCATTGTTTTCTTAGAGAGAGGATGATGAGGCAGTGGGAATGGAACAGGGCCATGTCGAACAAAGAGGATTATAAAGACAAAACAACTTTGACAAGTCTGAAATTTGAGGACACTTCCAGGGAGACATGAAGACTATCAAAGTCAAGCTGTTTGTTGGAGGGGTGGCAGCTTGCTGTTTTGTGTGCCCTTGTGGATGTGATCAACGGGAAAGAAAATCCAGACATTGAGTTTTACCTCTGGACTCAAAAGCTGACACTTGACAGAAAAGCACTTCTCAAAGTGGCAGCCATCTATACGCACAGAACAAAGCCACCCCCCCCCCCTCTTTTTCAGCAGAAGACATTTTCTTTCAGTGCAACACAACAAATAAATAAATTAGTGTGAGCGATAGGATAATTGTACAGAACTAGAAAATCCTGGCTGCGCTGGTATATTTGTGTCCTCATTTATAAATCTGTTTTCTGATACTGCCACATTAATCTATGGTTCCTTCTTATTGTTAGATGGAAGAATAAAGGAGTCTATGAAGTATTCTGGAAGTGAAAGACTCTGATCTTCACTTAATCATATAGTTGTTTATATAACTCTGTTACATAAGCCATCCCTCTTCCCTACATTTTAATCAACATAAGTAATGGCAGCCCCTCATATCAATATACCTGAGCCATCTGCTCCCTAATACCAAGGATTTCACTCTCTGCGATTGCACAACGCCTCTCACTACATCCCGATCAGGATTATAGCTTTGGCAGGGATCAAAATTTGCTTCTGTGCTTTTATTTTGAGAGCTTTTTGATTGCCAATCTGCAGCATTGTATGTAGGCTATACAGGCTGCAGGCGGTGGTTGTATGCTTTGTATAGTCTGGTTTGCTTACAGTTTATTTGATCCTTTAACAGGGCACTGGACTATCTGGTTTTATTATTCACCGAATCAAACAACATCAATTCAAGGCCGCCTAATAATGACAAAACATGGTGCTCACACACTGGCAAACTCAAATTGTATTTCCTTATTAGCGGGCTGTCTGGTGAAAAATATGGAAATGATATTCATATTCAGACAGGTAATAACCAAAAGGCATGGTACAAAGTGTGTTGCAAATTAGTCTGAACACTAAGCTCTGTTGTACATTTGCATAGTTTCTTTGAACGTATTGTTGGGAGAAAAAGGGAAAAAGGGAGTAGGCCAGAATTTGAAAGGTTTCAAAAGTTAGATCAGAATTACTTATTACTGAAAGTAGTCTTATTAAACAAACTGAGTGTTATAAATGATCAAGGGGAGAACCTTGATCTTGACCTTGAGCACTTGCTTATACATGATTTTAGTGATCTAAAAGATGAATGATCCCAAGTGCCTAGAATCATTTGTCGCTTGATTAATCTATTAATTCAGTGCTTTTCAAACTGAGGGCCAGGGACTGACAGAGGTCCTTCAGTGGGTTGTATGGGGGCCCCATCATAAGGAGGATTTAAAACTTTTGGAAGTTGGAAGAACAAGGGAAGAAGTAAGGTTAGTCGTTTTGATAGATTGTAATTTATAGTAATCCTAGTTGGATCATTGATATTATATATTGACTATGAAGACTTCATTTTCTTCAAACCTAAAATAAAAAATTACACAGAGGGAATTCTTCAAGACAAAATCGTCTCAAATTTGGGGTCCGTGGTCTGATAAGTATCTATGTGGGGGTCCTTAACATGACAACATGGGAACTCCTGTATTAATTGACTAATTGTTTCAGCTCAAGAAATATGAACATACGACTATTAGAAGAATATTACAATAACACTCTCACTGTGGCTTCATGTAAGATAAAAAAATACAATGTGGTCGTGTCAGTAATTCTCTCCTAATAAACTAACCTCTTTTAGGACTGTAACATTATTCTCTGCTATTTAAAACTAATGGCTAAGCAAGTTCTTCAGTGGCTGATAACCATGGATTTCTCCAACTAATTTGCCTAAACCCCTAAATTTATATAATTTCTGTATTAAGTTGGTATTATGGTCACACAGATGAATGCATTCAGTTAAATTAAGCATTTAAAGTCAGCCAAACCTTTCCTGAACAGTAACCGCTGCAGCCACTATATAGCCTAGTGGCCATTATGGGATAATGCTAAATGCTAACGTCACAACAGCACAGGTGGAGACGAGTCATAAAATCAGCAAACTTAAACATGTAAAACCAGAAACTGTGAAGCATCCAGTGGTGAAATGTAACTAAGTTCATCCATGACTTAAGTAACCTATACATTTAAGGAACTTTTACTGGAGTATTTACATTTTATGCAACTATTATCTCAGAGGCAAATATTGTCTGACAGCTTCAGTAGCTACTTTCTGATTAAAATTGTTTTATTCCTGTCCAGTGAAAACCACGTATCTCCAAATTGTGTGATTTTTGAATCACTTCTGATAAACTGAAGGATATATATCTTTATGGGTTGAAAAATGTCAAATAATTAAAACATTTTTCATACAGGTTTTGAGGGATGCGTGGTTCTCAAAGCACAACGATGCTACAAATGATGATCTTATTCCTGGCGATGAAAGTACCCCAACTTTAAACTAAAGTCAGCCTGTGACCTTATATACCATAAAACAGGAACCAATCCTCTGCATTATGAGTAGCCAACTTAAGTAGGCTATGTTAACGGTTATGCTACAAATATTTACTTGAAGTATTTCACAGTGTGGTATTGCTACTTTTATTTAAGTAAAGTATCAAAATACTTCTTCCCACCACTGACAACATCTGTCTAAACTTGCTCGGTCATACCAGACCAAGTATAAGGCTAAAAAAAACCCAAAAGGGTATTCATTCAGCAGGGACATATTTTTGCTTATGAACCCAACTTTTCACCTATAAGAGGAATCATTTGTTATTTATTCATGAAAAGGTTAAACAGTTTTTAAATTGGTAACTGTTATATGTCGACAAATCCACTAGGAAACCGTAATTAGAGTTATCCACTAATTCTCGAGGGGGGGTAATGAGTCGTTTTCACCTCAGCTACACCGCTGACAATTTAAAAAAAATAACAATAGCAAAAAGTATCCAGGTTAGAGGAGTATTTATGTTTTAAATGGTGGCTTGATATTAGAAAAGAAAAAAAAAATCCAGGTATTCCTTTATGAAAGAAAGATACCCCCTCCCACCCTCCGCCGCAGTTATCCCCCACCCCCCTCACCGTTTCGGGGATGGTGTGGTCCAGGAAGCGCGCCTCTTCTCTTCTCTCCTCCTCTCCGGCTCCAGTGAATCAGCTGACGAATGGTCTCTCCCTCCTCTCCCTCCTCTCCTCTCCTCTCCTCTCCCGGATGGATCGCGCCGCTGAAGCCGGGCAGCCTGAGCGCTGACACAGGAGCAGGTTGCCCACCGCCCGCTCTCCTGCCGCTGGATGTCACACCGACCGACCCTCGAGAAAAGATTCCGCCACCCCCTCCCAAAAAAAAGAGGTTACTTTATTGAATTTTCCCTCCTCGGGCAGGAAGCTACCCGCTTCCCCTCACCATGGCTTCCAACTTCAACGACATAGTCAAACAGGGATACGTGAGGATACGGAGTAAGAAACTGGGGGTGAGTACTGTTGCACTTGCTGTCTAGCGCGGTGGAGGAGACGGGGGGAGGAGGAGGAGGAGGAGGAGGTGGTGGTGGTGGTGTAGGAGGATGAGGAGGAGGAGGAGGAGGAGGAGGAAGAGGAGTTCCAGTTGTTTCAGGGGGCGGCTGGATTAAGAAAGAGGCTTTAATTGCTCCATAGGCAGCCGTCCTGCTGCGAGCTCTTCAAGAGGAAAAACAGATTAGAGCAGCACGAACAGCGGCCAAGTTTCTCTCAGTGCATTGTGCAAAACTACTTACTGCACATGCTGAGATGTCGGGAAAGTCTAGATGATTGACAGCTGGTGTCTAGTGGATGTAGTTGTGGATCACATCCGCCTTTGTTTTTTTTTTTTTTAGTTTCATTGAGAAAGTTAGGCTACATCTGATATCTGACTTTGTTAGGCTGCAAAAACTCTAGACAGATGAGACACTTTTGGAACCAGAACTGTGATATAAGAGGAAAAAAAGGAAAGGGTAAATCGCCCATTAAGACATAAAAATGCTATAGTAAAAAGCTAATAATATCACCTTTCAATAACCACACCATAATTTAAGTCTAATAAGGTCAGGACACCACAGGCTGTAAATGTCCTTATCATAGCGCGTGGTGCAAATTAACTCCATGTTTTATGGATTCTAGGATGGACAACATAATAGGAATACTGGGAATAATGTTTATCACTATACAAATTGTCATCAACTTATTAGTGCTGTAACTCTCTTTCAAGTCATGATGAATTATCCCCACTGAAGTCTCATTGAAATCCAGCTGATTCGGTGCAATGGCAGCTCTTCACTGCCTTGATAATGGATTTCCATTGAGATACAGCAAAGGGGGGAAAAATGGCTTGACTGCTTAAATGGAAATAAATGATATATATTCAATTATGAGCGCCTTATTGTCTGAGTCATAAAGCCATCTGCTTTTGTTCATACTTCCAGCCCATTACGCTAACAGAGCGGGCACACTCCCTCTCCTCTGATGAAGTGTGATGATGGAGGCTAATGATGTCTGCCTCCTCACATCATCACCTGGCTTCATCAACAGTATTTCGACAGTTGTTTGCCGCCATTGAGGCCATCTTTGATCACACTTTAAGAGTAACTGTTGATCAAGAGAAACCTTTACTGCTCCTATTAAGGACTTTCACCACACAAGCCTGATATAACAGATGAAAGCGCAACACATTTGTTGTTAACATGCAAATAAGCTTGTTCACATATAGTTGGCTCAGTTTGTTTACGTCTTGCATATGCTATTTGCAAGATGCATTCAAGAAAAGAGGATGCGTGTGTGTGTGTGTGTTGAGAGCCCATGACTTTGCAAAGCAAGTGAGGACGCACGCTGTGTTGGCTGTGCTCGAGGTATGGATGCCATATCTCTGCCAGCTCCACATCTCATCCTGCTGTTTGTGGAGAAAAACAGTTTGTGTCCTGATCGCCCACTCCCTCAGCCCTCCACTGCTCGCTGCTGTTTCATCATAGAAAAGCCATGCTGCGATGGCCTCAGAGGACCCTGGTGTGGGTAGATAGAAAGTATTTATCTGTCCACGCTGGGGTTAGTTATTCCAGGCTAATTCTCATTCTGAATCAGTTGGAGAAGAAAAAACAACATTGAAATGGAGCAGGAATAGGTATCTGTATGCCCGAATCAACAGGCACTGATATGGTGCATCCCTGTGATCTTTTTCTGTGGGGAAAAAAATCAGTGCTAAATGGCGTAATTTCAAGTGTGTTTGTGTTGTGTTTTTGGAAGAGATGAAAATACGAATGTGTGACAGATACACACATGCATGGGCTGACTGGAGGGATACACATCTGGGTGGAGGGGGAATGTATTTAAAGTTGGCGAAAATCCAGAAAAGTGTTATTTTGCAGCCCGATCTCAAACATTTTATTTCATTTTTGTCTAATGTTTTACAGATTTTGATGAATCAACAGCTCGGTGTTTATTGGTGTCAAGAGAGACTTGAGGCATCATTATCCTGATATGCTGCACAGAGAGTCAAACAGATACAAACATGCTGGATACATTCAGACCCAGAGTCAGACTTAGTAACGTGGACAGGGAGATGCACTGGCCTCTTTGGATTCCTCATCATTAAAATGCAGCCAACAAAGTGCATCAAACCTCCTTCAAATGGTCCCTCCTTGTACTGGCTCTCTTAGAGATTTCTATTTAATCTAAACCAAACAGGGTTGCATTAATCTATTAATTACTTTTTTAAAATTAATTGATTAAATGTTTGGTCTATAAAATGTAAGAAAAAGAAGAGATCACAAGTTCCCAAAGCCGAGGGCAACATCTTTAAACTATAAGTTTGGTCCAAACACCCCAAATAATAAAAATGTAATCGTATACAAGGCAAAGCCTTACATTTGATAAGTTGGAACCAGTGTATTTTGGTTTGTTTTGCTTAAGAAATGACTAATTGATCATCAAAATTGATGCAGATCATTTTTCCCTCAATCTAATGAACTTACTGATTAGTCTGTTCATCTCTAAAACCGAAGTTCTTGTTAAACACAAACAGCCTAAATCAAATAATAATATATATAAAGATATAATAATCTCCTCAAAGAATGAGTAAACAACATCAGAAACCTGTCCAAACGTTTGATGCCAGTAGAGCTGCAACTGACGATTACTTTCATTAACGACGATTCATGATTGATCAATTTATTTATTGCTTTATAAAATTTTCTAAAGCCTAATAATGTGACATCTTCAAATGACTCGTTATGAGTGTAACAGTCTAAATGCAGACATATTCACAAGAGATAAATAAAAGCACCCACAATGGAGAAGCAGGACCCAGACATTGGCATTTTGCTAATAAATTAACTGATAATCAAAAGAACTGCAGATTCATTTTATGTTATATGTTTAATTGTTTCAGCTTTAGATGCCAGCTTCTAGTCTCTTGTCAGTTTTTGGTATTCAGTGCTAAAAACGTTTCAGTCTGTACCAAAAAAGTACTTAAGTTTTGATCCCAGCCCTGTCTGTCAGAGCGACTGGATGTACCTTTTTAGTTGGAGTTTCTAGGCCAGAAAGGTCCTGAGTGTTTTCCTCCTCATGTGATGGTTTTTTAATGTTTTTTTTCTTAGCGCTTTAAAGGTCTCTCAAATATCACACATCAAGACTTTGCATCACAGTTGACCTTCTAATGCTCCCGCCTCGGTCTCTATTGTAATGCTGTGCCTTTTTTAAAATGTATTATACATTATTTTTCATTGGAAAGTAGTACAGTCGGAACGGTTCTCTTTATGCGATATGTATTAAAGTGGCCACGCCAACACCAACAGCTTCGGCTAAGCTCATCAGCATCCGTCAGTATGATTGGCTCATTTCCAAACCCCATCATGTGTGAAGGTTGAGGCCATGAGGTCAGGTCTGTGTTTTGCCGAGTGATCAAAATTACCAACCAGGGCACTTTCTCTTCACTTTTTTTTTCTCTTTCTCCCGGGACATTTGTTTTCTTCCTCCACTGACATGAATGGCAACGATTTCCTACGTTAGCCAACTTCTTTGTCTCTTTGTTGGCTGCGGAGACAACGGTGCAGTGTTCTTGAATGCACAAGTAGTCTCTCCTTTCCTTTTCTCACATTCCCCTCCTCTTCCTCACCTCTCCACCTATTCTCTCACCTCACGTTCCCCCCCCCTCCTACATCTCACCTGTATTCCCCACACTTCACAGTGTCTCTCTCTCATTTCCTCTCCCCTTTTCTTTTATCTCTGTTCCTCTTTTCTTCCCCTTTGTCTGGGCTATCTCCCTCACCTCATGCCCCTTTCTCTCTCACCTTTCTCTCCTTCGCTGGTTCGCAGACAGCTGAGAGACTGAGCACAAAAGCATCCTATTCATCACCCCACACTGCACCCTCCATAACCCCAACAGGCTATTCCCCCTGACACCGTGCAAAGGCGCACACACACACACACACACACACACACACACACACACACACACACACACACACACACACACAAATTTGCTTGGTTCAACATTGAAGAATTGGCACAGACGTGCACCAGACAAACAAGTAAACAATCTGCTGCCAGAGAACAGTGTGTGAATTCTCAATTAATTTTAATCCTGTGGCTTTGTAGCATACAGTAATTTTTCTTCTTTTGTTTGCTACATGAAGACAAACTAAGTGGTCAGAAAAGCCAAAAACAAGTGAAGTGTCACACAGACACCAAATATCTTGCAGTGTCTAAGAAACAGCCGTAGCGATATTGCAATCGTCCATGCGGTTTGTTCTTTCTCCCTTTCAGTGAAAAACGTCTGATGGGCTCCTCTTCGACGAGCAGAATATCATGACCTTTGAGTAATTTGTGTGTCAGTCTCAGTCCAGGTACATGTTTCCCAGGTTAAGGATCGCTGTGGTAAATAGAAAAGGTCAGCTGTTGAGTACCCCCCAACCCCTTACACCCCCCCCAAACAAAAATGGTCAATTTAAGTTTGCTGTGGTGTGAGTCAGTATGCTATTCAGTCCCTCCATTCACAAACATGTTTTGACACTTCAAAAGGAGCTGTAGATCAGAAGTTGGCTCAGCGGTAGATATGTAATATTTTAAGAGAACGCAGAGCACTTCACACGTAGACTTCACACTTAGATAAAATGTTGTTTCCCACCACAGTAACACCACAGTATTATCACCAAAAGAAGTAGCACCAACAATAACCTCAACATTAACTTGTTTTACATACAAACAAATGCGCCGTGAGAATAGGACCAGAAGATTATGATTTTACTTTGTTCCAGTTATTTAAAGTGGTGATAATTCACATTTGTATATTAACAATGGATCATATTAATACAGGGGTTGTATGCAGTGACAAACCCACAAATAATTATCACCTAACGCTCGCAATTATTGTGTTAACGCTTGTCTTGGTTTAATTACCTGTAACTTTACTGTTTCAGGTCACTCTCACTGCTTTCATAGTGCTGTAGCCCAACATGCATCTGTCCGG